ATTATAATACCAGGTTCTATTTTTTATTTTTATTTTTAGTTTCCTGCTCTATATTACTTAATTCCTTAATTCTAGAAGCTTAGTATTCTTGAATTATTACTTTCTTCTATTTCCCGGTATTTTTTAAAAATAGAATAATTATAATAGTATAAATATTCTAGTTATTTTTAGGGTTAGTAAATCTTCTATTTTATAAGCTATTACTTTTATATATAATATTTATCTTTATTTTTACTAAGAATAATTAACTAAGTAGGATTTTTAGAGCCCTTTTAATTAGGAAAAACGTATTTTCATATTCTACTTTATTTATAACCTTAGCTTTAAGCTTTATTATTTCTATAAATTCAAATTCTATTCTAGTAATAATAGATATTTAATAATCTATAGTATTATATATTACTTTACTAATACTTCTAGAGATCTTTTTAGGGAAAATATTAATTTTAGCTCTAGTATTAATTATTTCTTTATATTTAATATTCCCTTAAGGTTCTCGAAGTATAAATCAGAAATATAAAGCTTATATAATATCCGAATATTAATACTATTACTTTTAAATTAAATAATTTTATTAGTATTAGGTACCTAAGCTAGTATTTCTAATTCTTTAAATATTCTATTTATTATATAAGCTATAGCTACTAGTTCTATAGATCTCCTAGTATATCTAACTATATTTAATATAATAGTATTTTTTATTTATAAGATAGTAAAGTAGGAAGTATTATTCTTAATTTATTAGTTTTAAAATATAATAGCTAGATCTGGCGTTTTTAAGGTATTAATAAGTATTCTTATTTCTTTCTAAGTTTTCGGAAATAGAATAATTACTTTCTTTAGTAATCTTATTGGAATATTATTAACTTTAGGAATTTTATACTTATTATAATTAAGAGTATATTAGGTTTCTAATTTGTTTTATTTATTTCCGAAAGTATTAATATTTATATTTTTAGCTAGGCTATTCCCTTATCTATTATTTCTTAAAGTAGTATTCTTCTAGCCTCTTATATAAAATAGCTTCTTTTCCGCTCTAACTTATTTTTAGAAAACCTCTTTAGCTATTTTTATCTTTTTTCCCTTTCTCCTTAATAAGGAACCCGTTATAATACTAATAAAAACGCTATTTATAGCTAAATCTTAGTACTATTTATTAATTTCAGAACCTAAAGTATTAGTAATTCCAATATAATTTTCTCTAAGGTAAAGTAGCTATTTAGATTTCCTAAATATAACTTGCTTACTTCTATATATAGATCCTGGTTAGCTAGTTTCCTTTTCTCTTTCTTATCTAGTAAACTAGGTATCCCTTATTAATCTCTAGATATTTTTGGGTTAAGTATTTAAGTTATAGTTAAATTCTTTTCCTTAAACTTAGGAAATAATTTAGTTAAACTACTAGTACTTATTAGTAAGGAAAAAGGAAATGCTTTCTTATTTAGGCTTAAATAGCCTTTTATATTATCTTTTATTAAATTAGTAAGTATATCTATAATTTATAAGTTCTTCTATTAGTAAGTAATAGAACTAAGAAATATAAATATATTCTAGATTAATATTATTATTCTTATTCCTATTATAGTACTTATAGTAAATTCATTCTTTTAGTTCTAGGTTTATATTATAGGCTATATTAACTTAAGTAATATTTTCTAATTATATTTAAAACTAACTTTCTCTAGAATATAGTTATTTAGACTTTTTACCTATTTTAGCTTGACTACTATAGCTACTATAGTATTTTCTATAACCTCTATTACGATTTCTAGTATATTTTCCCTAAAGATTTAAATTATACTTACTAGGCTATTAATATTATTATACTTACTATAGTTAGCTAGGCTATATAAGCAGGCTATAAATATTTTCCCGAATTATAATAGTAATTATATTAAGTTATTTCTATAAATTCTTTTAAGTTATAATAATAATAAATAGTTTTTCTAGATTTCTTATTAGCTAGTTAATATTATTTTCCTTAGGTTTACTACTTTTAGTAAGTTTTATATAATTAGCTATAGGCTAGGTTTTTCTCTTATTTATATCTATAGTAGCTTTAGGAAATACAATAAGAGAAACTAATAAGAAATAATTATTTTCTAATTTAGAAACCATATTATAAACTATTATATTTAAGTATTCTTATCTAAATCTAGATATATTTAGATTATTAGTAATATTAAAATAATATTTCTTTTCTTTATATTAATAGAATATTATTACTTTCTTATATATCTTATTATATTTATAAATAGAAATATCTATAGGCTTAAAGTTTATATTTTTAAGAATATAATCTTTTACTAGAATAAATAATTCTCTTATAAATTCTTAATACTAAATTATTTTTTTTATTTTTTTTCTCTTTAGTAATTCCTTTAATACTTTATTAAATATATTAATATAAAACTTAGACGAGATTTCTCTATTCTGGGCTTATATAATAATCTAATTAAGAAAGTTATAACTAATTTTAAGTATTTCCTAGTTATATTCTCGGAATTTCTTTAGTAAGGCCTTAAAAAACTTAGTTTTCTAGTAATCTTCCGGATTATTAGTATAATACTCTAGTATAGCCTTAATCTAATTCTTATAAATAAGAGAAATATAATAAATAATTCTTTTTCTTTTAGTATTATTAAGAATATAATAATTCTTATATATATTTATATACTATTCTAAGAATATAAAGATATTACTTCCCTAAAACTATAGTATTTCAGGAGCTCTTATAAATAGTAGATTTAAATCCGGTACTAGTATATATTTATTCTTAGCTATATTAATCTTAATAATTTCTTCTATAATTAATTATAGAGTTTCTATATCTAAGACTTTTACTAATAAGGTTCCTAAAAAACTAACTTCCCGTTTAAGTATGTCTTTTAGTTTAGGAACCGGAATTAGAAAGAAACTAGTTAATAATAATAGATATAATTAAGGTTTAAGTTTTAGTATTAGTAATAATAAGGTAATAGCTTTTCTAGTCTTATTCCTATTACTTATATTTTCTTTCCTATTTCTTTAGCTTAATACTTATAGTATTTTCTCTTAATTTTACTAAACTAGATATATTTATTAATATTATTAAAGATAATAATAAAAATAATAAATATAATTTTACTAATTTTTCTGACTTTTCTGAATTCTTTTTTCTTTCTTTACTTAGTATCTATTTCTTTCTCTAGAAGCTTTTCTAGTTTATTTATATAATTTCTTATTTCCGATTTCTTTTTAATTCTTATTTCCGATTCTAGTTTATTATTTTATTTAAATTTAAGAATATTTCCTTTTTTGGATATCTTTTTTGGATTTAGGAGCAAGCTTTATTACTAAGATTAAAGCTATTTTAATTCCGGCTTTTACTATAACTAAAAATAATATATAAATTAATAGTATAACTTTATTTCTGAATACTAAAGTCTGATTCTAACTAAGGTCTAACTTATATTATTTTAGTATAATATTTCTTATTTTATTTCCTTTATCTCTTTTCCTTTTATAATTAGCCTCTATTTCTATTACCCCTATATACTATACTAGTAACTATATCTTGCGGCTAATCCGTATCCAAGTTACTAGATATATCGGAAATTAATATAAGATACTGAGATTAATGCTCGTATATCCTTAATATTTTAGTCTTAGGCTTAAGGTATTATAATAGCCCTTTTCTCCCCTAACTTGCTAAGCTAATAATCCGCCTTATAGATACCCCTTAGAACTTTATAAGAGTATTATCTTAACTGCGAAGTTTCTATTCTTCCTGTATTACTTACTATAAAATATATAGGAGGGAAACTGTAATAAGACAAAAACCTATATAAAGTATACTAGAGTATAAAACGTAACTTAATAGTAAAATAATAAATTAAAAGCGTAAATAGTAAAGTATAAATAGTATATAGTATGCAAAAGCTTAATTAATTAAATACTCATAAAGGATTATTCTCTAAGTCTATAGAAAAACCAGCTTTCTTATGTGATTTCCGCAAGTTACGTGCAAAAGGCCGCGGCCTTTGCCATGTGACCTAAACCTCAAAACCGCCAAAATAACATGATTTTCGACGAGTACGGCCTGCCGTACCACAGTAGTCTATAGTACTGTACTCTAGCTCTCCTCCCTTCTCCTCTTTTCTTCTTTCCCTAACTTTAGATCCTCGAATATAGGCATTCTCCTACGAGATCCAGAATAAATCGCTCTCTTATTAGCGTCTCTCATCCTGGCTCGTATATGCTTGTAACGGCGGCTAACTGTCACGAGTACCGGTTTCAGGGTCCGCAGGACAAGGTCGAACGGCTTTAACTACGACTATTCAAAGCTAAGGAGAAAAGAGGTTTTCTACAAGGTTCGTATGAGAATATAAGTCAAATTTACTGCTGTCCTTCACCGCCTTCACGTCTACACATGACTTGATGCTTAAGGCCTAAGGCCAAGCCGTAACAGGGTGGCACAGATCGAGGGTTCAAGTCGAGGCGGAAGAGGTAGGAGAGGCAGGACAGGGGAGGGCAAAGATACGCGGATCGAGGGTTGAGGTTAAGGTCGAGGTCGAGGTCGTGGGCTTTCCGGTCGTACGAGAGTCTTTGCAGGCGGGCCGGGATATTAGGATCGAGAGGCTGCAAAGCCTTCCTCTTCTTTACTTTCAACTTCTCCCTCGACTTTGCAATCCACACCCCTGCACGGCGCACAGGTTTTGAGCTCCTTACTCGCCGGATTAGATAGGTTTAAGAGAAAGGAAGGATGCGGGACGCGGCATGTACGGACTTAGGCATGATCGGGCATGATGCATGTGATTTGCCTTTTGTGGCGCGCGATCGAAATGGAACAGGTGGGTGCCATGTCACGCGGGGGTCGGAGCTAAAGAAAAAGCTGCACCTTCAAATACCACGCAGAAGACCAGCCGTAAGGCCATCGTCACACTAGCATTTCTCTTGATACAACCTTTCACTCCACTTCCGTATCAGATCGATACAGTTTCAAGAATGCGCCTCTCGATATGAACCAAGGAGAAGCTGAGCAACTGTCGCCTGGGCTGCCAGCGGTATCGGAGCGACAAGGTATATATAGCATTGCGAGGCTCGAACTACCAAATTAAAGAGCCCGAGATAATACGCTATTACTAAGCTATTATAGGTATAAAAGCCAATAACGGACGCAATTTGTGTGCTACTTGCGCAGGTATCTTCCGCCTAGATCCGAAATTTAACAAATGGCATCCGCACTAGCCTCGAGAGCGTCTCGAACAAGCCGCCGAATTTAACAAATAGAATCCGCACTAGTCTCGAGAGGGTCTCGAACAAGCCGCCGACCGTAACTGCTGGATTTGCATATAACTGAAAAAGATCCTTTCACAAAGCGGTGATTTGTAAGCAATATGTTTTCTTCATACATACTTGTAATTGTGTACAGAAGGCTTACATATCCTTAATAGATAGTAAAAACGATAGTTCCCCAACATTCTTCTGACGTAATATTGTTCTTCCCGGCATTAACCCAACTATAGAATTTTCCACCGAATGCCAATGCCAGAAATCTAAGGATGCAATATCAATATTTTCTATAGGCCTGTATCCCATTAGCGATTACGGTAAGACCACTTATTAAGAACTCAAATTTTATCGTAATTAGTAAAGAAGCTAATCTTGTTAATAGGCGCAGAATCACACTACCCTGTTATTCCTTCCCGAGCTATATACACCAAGTTATTCGTCAAGCAATATAGATCGTGGTACGACGCATGCTTATCCGATCACTCGAAGTACCGTCACTCCTCAGACTCAAAGGTCAAGCCGACAAGACTCATCCATCTCAATGGACGTAAGATCAGGCTCTACAGGGGTGTCAACCTCCTCCACAAAGACCGATACGTAACCCTGAGTCATTGCTGGGGTGAACAGGAAAATGAACCATTCTAACTCCGATCTTCTAACGATTCCATCGGTTACGACGAGGTATCTCTATCGGATCCGGGATATATCCCATTCAAAAAGCTTCCCGAAACCTTTAGCCAGGCGATTTTATTCACCGCTTGGTTGGGCTTCAAGTATATCTGGGTCGACGCCCTCTGCATTATTCAAGATTCCGAATTGGATTGGCAAAAAGAATCCGAATACATGGGACGCATCTATGCAAACGCTACCCTGAATCTAGCCGCAACGGCATCCGTAGATAATACCGAGGGTCTCTTCCACTATCGTGATTCCCGGGTTATCAAACCATTCCCTGTTTCTATTAACTGGCGTTTCTGGCATTTAGCATATAACAAGATCAATGACCGAAAGATCCACTACGAAGGGATCTACTACCTCCAGTTAGGAAGCATATATGAAGATGTATTTACTGCTCTACTTAACAAAAGAGGCTAGGTATTACAGGAACGGATATTGTCTAGGAGAATTATTCACTTTAGTAAAACGCAGGTCTACTGGGAATGTTCCGAGCAAAAGTCGTATGAGATCTTTCTAAAAAGCATCCCTTCAAAGTTCAGAGTTCAACCACATCCTCCCCTCCCCTTATTGCCTGAGTTGCGCAGTATAGTATGGGACATATCAGATTCGGTATTACTATCTCTACCTTTATTAACGACTATTGAGACCCTGCCAGGACCCGAGAACAACTCCTACGAGGAAGTTTGGAGAAGAATCATAGAGGATTATTTAGCTTGCGACCTCAGATATCCTAATAAAGACAAATTCGCTGCTATAGCCGGCTTAGTATTAGTAATAAAAAGGACTGGGGACAATTTTCAAGCCGGCCCATAAAACAAGTCTCTGCTAAAAGATCTTTTGTGGGAACGTTCTTATAAGCCGGAATTTGGTATGCCCGCTTAATACAGAGTACCTTCTTGGTTATGGGCATCTGTTAATGAATAGTTAAAATACTTACGCACTTTACAAGAGGATATTACCTATATATTAAGAGTCTTAGAGGTAAAAACCCCCATATCTATAGGCGACGGCAAGTACGGGATTATAATAGCCGTCTCTCCGGAGTCGTCCATACGTCTCAAAGGACAATTAGTAGCCCTGTAACCAAACTACGCCGCTGTTTGGGATTTCGAACCGTACCCGAAGGGCAAGGAGTGGGCAATCAAGCGCAGGCTAGAGAGACAAGGCCTGAACTTACTAGAAGGCTCGGTTCAAACTGGGGACAAAGTCTTTATATTTCCAATTCTGGAAAATAAATACTATAATATGCTCGATAAGTTGCGGTCATTAGTAGGAGGTCTTCCTATTATTCCTACTACATTAATAAGCGGCCTTCTTATTACTCCTACTAGTAGGAAAAGAGGAAAGTTTATCCGTATAGGGGCGTTTACCGTCTATTAATAGGATCGGGAGAACTTTATAAAAGATTTTTCTATTAAAGTTAATAATAGATTCTTTATAGAGAAAGAGAAAGACGGAAAGTATATTATAACTATTATTTAATAAAGATATAAATATAAATACGAATATTCTTTAAGAATAAAGTAGCTAAGTAGTATAGTAATTATAATTAGGATACTTGAACAGAGAGTAGAAACATGGCTGAGCATCCTGAGTACAGGGTAGGTCAAGGGTAATTAGCACCTGAGTAAAGCGGTAATGCGAACTAACTATATTAGATGTGAAGTAGGTTAGGTTTCGTCACAGTAAGAATTATGGGCGGGTAACTAATCTGTTACGGATTCTCAGTGCATAATGCTATAGGCTAAGACGTTTGCATAGCCTACGCACTCAAGAAATTTAATCTAGCCTTACCGAAATTGAATTGTTTATTATCCCCTGTTATTCCAAGCTTATATATAACTAATTACCTATTCTACTAGTCGGACTCAGCCGCATGTCTAGTATACTTGGGAGCATTAAATATTAATAAAACCGCCTAGCACCGAATTTAGACATAAGGCTATATATAAGTACCTGTATATTAAATCAGACCTTAGAAACGCCTAATGAGGATGCCTCAGAGCAATGCCCCAGAGTACTACCTGGTGAGGCTGTATTTCTAAGGCTGCCTAGTAGGGCTAGTTATAGGGCTTTTTACTATTGCCTGGAAATTAATGTATTTAGAGCGCTTGCCTCTCGACTCTTACTAAGAACTCAGATAATCCTGATCATATTAATTTACATACTGATTTTGACTCCTAACTTAGTTATAATCTGATACTATATATGAGCTCAGATAGAACAAGGCAAAGACGCAGCTCTTCCTTCCGCAAATCTCAATAGTATAACCTTAATAGATTGCCCCGTATTACTCGGTAATTAGTATAAGAGAACCACGTTAGTATTCTCTACTTTCTCAAAATTTTGCTATATTTGACTTCTTCTAGTTCTTTTAATATTAATACCTAAGATATCTGGGTCCCCTATTGCCTCGGCCAATTAGGTCTTTACCCGACCAGACCCATTCGACTCAAACCATCCATTCTTCAGAGCCGACCTGCGTCAAATCACCGGTTAGCAAGGGATACTAACCGGGGACTATAACCTTCCATAGCATAATAATATGTATCTGGCTTACCCGTCTCCAGAAGTACCAAATTGGCCTGTATTCATAGCCTACATTAAGTAGCTAAATGCAGAGGCAGACGATAATATATAGTATAAGATTATATATATCATACGTCAAGCTCATAATACGTATTCCAGAACGGGTATAATGGGAGAAATGGCTTTAAAAGAGCAGAAGTACTAACCTTCTTCTCTTCTTATATAGAAATAGTACAAGATAATAATGTTCCCGATCCTGTACTTAACGACCTAGGTAAGGAGTAATGCCGTCGGCTAGTAGCTGACTTCGAGCGGGCAATACGTACTATTAGCCTTCCACCCCCAGAGGTAGTCGTAACTTCCCCACTAGCCCGCACCCTTGAGACTACGCAACTAGGCATTATACCTCTCTTTTCCTCTATTTGCCCGATCGTCCTCGAGAGCCTGCGAGAGCGCTTTATAAATATGGAAAAAACACAGCGGTATAGTAAAAGGTAGATCGAGCAGAATTTCCCTGTATTTGATATGGATCACGTGGACGAATTAGATTAGCTTGGGATAATATATAATAGCTCGGACCATACAGAAACCTATAAGGCTTGCTAGTAGCGTATATAAGGAGCTTTGGCGTATGTATTTGAGAACTATAGACGCGCCTCGGTTATTCTGCTTATATCGCACTACTACGTGGAGCAGACTATCCAGCGCGAGATTACCGGGTGGGATGTACCCAAAGAAGAGCGAAAGGGAACTATTGAATTCTTTGTCGGAGATACGGGAGGATATGTAATTGTAGTAAAGGGAACAAGAGGTTAGATAGGTATTAATAGTACTAATGGGAAATAGCGTGGAATTTGGCTATGGTTTATTAGGGAGATTAAAAGCTGTCTGGGCTATATATAATGAGTTTCGTTAAAGAAGTTAGTAGTTTAGTAAGATAGAATATAGCAATAGTAGTAACTTAGGTTCTCTATTTATATGGGTTTGATTTCTCCGGTTCCGTCATGGTCTCGCAACAGCCCCTACCTTTACTTTAAAAGCTTTTGTCCTAGCCTTTAATTCTATAATTCGACATAGTCTCGTGGGTTTATTAGTAGCAAGTATACTTGAAGATTATTCCTCCAAGTATTCAATGTCCTATCTTTAGTAGTTAAAGCAAGACCTGCTAAGCTATGAGGCAGGTACAGAATTATATTACAAATCTACAAGTAAACTATAATATAACGCACCGCCTACTGCTCCGTTCTACCTATAGACTAATACGCGCATTAGTCCTCTCGAGCCATATAGAAAGTATTATTTCCCGCCACCAGGCCATTGCCTCTATTATATACTGCGTCCTATAGTTATAAGCCACCTTGCCAGGTCTCCCCTCACAATACGGCTGACCATGTCTCGCAGAGGTTGCCCTATTATACCTATACCCCTAGCCAGGTAGCGTGGTATGGCGTTTCCCTCCTACTAACCAATACGCCGCTTTATCTTTACCCACTATCTCCCTGTGTATTTATAGTACCGGCTTTCTATATAACCAGGACCTGGCTGCCTGTGGACTCGGTCGTCAGGTCGGCAGTAGCTAGTGCCGTAGTCATACTTCAAGAATCGAAAACACGCTGGATCTGGCTATTGGCCGATCTTGACCGGAATTACGTAAGCGCTATAATAGTCATATTCGTAATACTCGAGTCAATTATCGTGATTCGGACGGTCCTCGTAGAGTGGTCGGTATTGCATTGAGCCACTAGTTACCCTAACCCTACTCTTCATGCCTAAACGCACTTACGAATCTCCTATCACGCTCGCCCTACTAATCCTACCCAGGGATCGTGTTCTTGTTCCTTCCCTCTCCTAGCAAGTGCCAGCTTTCCGCCGGCCTTGAATCTCCTCGTGCGACCACGCTCAACCAAATACCCCCTTCCATTCAACCTTCCCTTAATAAGTGCTCGAGTCTATCTCTTAACAAATGCCTAGTACTACCCCTTGACAAGTGACGGGCAGGCCGCCTTGCAATACCTCCAGATTACAGATCTGTACTCGTAAGCTGAGCGTGAAAATTCTGTACCCTTACTAGAGGTGTCCTCTCGACGAAGTAGGCAACGATTCCACTGACCTCTAGTCGCTCACGACTAGTCCCAGCCTGCACTACGGGGAGGTGAGAGTCGTCGCAGGCTATATCAGACTATAGCTAGCTTATTATGAAGCGTTATAGTAATAACTAAACCGCCAGCGGTTATTTCAGTAACCACAGCCTACCTGGGCTCAGCCACAATAGCCTGTACGCTAGCGAAAAAGTAAGTGGCAATGCCAGGAAATGCCTAAAGCTATATAACAATCGTCCAGGTAAGGATAGATACTAATATCCGCGCCACGGCTAGGCTTAAAGGCCCCTAGGTCTAAATAACTGCGCTGCCCTCCATGTGGTGGTAAGAAGGCCCCGCTACCCAGTTATTGTTCTGGGACCGTTTGAGCATGGTGAGGTCCTCCTAGTACAGCCTCATATCCGCTAACGATTTATGAACCTCTGGAAGCCCAACTACTCTAACCTTTGGGCACTGACAGATTTAATCGAGTACACTATAGCGTTTTTGCGATAGCCGATCCCCTTTTAATCATTGGTAGTCTAGCGGCGGGGTTGCAGCTCGTATTAATGACTATACAGGCTTTGCTTGCCACTATTAAGCTAATAAAGAACCTAAAAGAGATACCTGACAGGCTTGCGGTTCTCTTAAACGAAGTGGACGACTCCATATCGCGCCTCTATTATAGTTGCAACGCCGGCTCCCGAATTTTTCAGAGCCTGGATCCTCCTCAAATGAATCGTCTATCTCGGTACGCGGTCGCACTTCGCCTAGCCTTGGAAGACATCTATAACATGTTAACGCCATTATTCGGTAATAACCAAGGCAGGGTCAGGCCTGTTCGATATCTGTGGAGATCTCTCGTATCTCTTAAAATAGAAAAAGAGCTACCAGAAAAGCTACAGAGGCTGAACCGTCTTAATATAGAAGTGGTTCGGGAGCTTGGAATCGTTAGGCTGGAAACACAGTTAGCCACCAGTGGGCTTGTTATAGCAAGTGGCGCGGCTTCGAGTCAGGGTTTCTCCAATATCAAAGCTAAAATAAACTCGCTGCAAACGGATTTTCGGAATTTTACCATATTGGTATAACGGGCATATATTATAACGGCCGAAACCCCCAGTTACCTTACTACTATTATGCAAGAGGGAAGTGTTACTAGAGAAGAAGGCTCTCGGAAGAGCGGTTGCGGGTCAAGCAGCAGTTCAAGCTCTGGCTCGAGTATCATGTCGGAAGCGATATTATACGCTTAAGGGCCATTAGAGATAGCAAGAGTCTCACAGGAACGGGCAGAACAGATACTTCGCTATCTTTCGGGGACTACTAAAATCAGTACTACGGCCGGACTTCGTATAATGACGCCCGGCGACCTCCCAAGTACAAACCTCGATTATATCCTCTTTAGTATCCGGACATTTTATACGATAGGAAACTTTGACTTATCTCCTATCGTCATAAGGCCGAAGTTCTGGAAAGATACCGACCTCGGAATTTACTTAATAAAGGTTTCGGAGGGTTTGCAGCGCGGCGCAAGCCAGAGCCAGACTCGAGGATTCCGGATTCTCAAGGCATTAACAGCGGCCGCAGCAAATACCATGAGTAAAGGCACGGCCAGTATCCTTATTGAGCTTCTGAGCACATTATCGCCTGTAAATACCACCACATGCCCGTACATACGAGAAGGCTTGCTTTAATATCTGTGTGAACTAGCGCGGGAATAGCTGCCACCCAGCCATCCAATCGCACTCGTCATTAACAAGCTAAAGAACGACAATGGCGAGAAAAACGTGACGCTTCGGGCGCTAGACTTTATTATCGAGCGCCTCCGGTCCACGCTTGGTCCTATCCATCCGTTAATGCAGCTTGGAACTTATTGGCTATATGAACTCCTGCACCGGAGCGGCAACTTCACCGAGGCGCTACGGGTAGCCGGCGACGGCATCCAGGTAATCCGCGCCCTTCTGGGGCCGGGCTCGTTACAGGAACACTGGCTATTGCGTCCACGTGAGCACGTATACATGGACCAGTGCGATTGGGTTGCAGCACTAAGTATATACTTTGATATCGTGGGACAGCGGCTCGACGGGCCGAACCCGGATCCACTATACCATAATAAGTACGCAGTCATAATAATAGAGGATATCGCCAAGACGTACGAGTATACGGGGAACGTGGATCAGGCCATTACATGACTCAAGCAGGCTACTATAAGTGGTGGCATGGTATAGGGACAGAGCGAGGCCCTAGCGTATATTCACGATAAGCTAAGGGAGTTACTAAAGCAGATTGGCAAGGAGGATGAGTTCAAGCTTTGGACCGCATCATGAATCTGTCTTTACATAGGTGTTGTCAACCCATAGCACGTGCCGTTAGTGCTTGAGCTCTCAATAACCACCAAAGCACCCTCGAACGGGGTCGGACGGCGCAGAACAATCACACCTCCTATACTAAGCGCATTACTTGAGCAACTTATCGAGAAACCCGAACTATACCAAGGTGAGATGGCCATCTTTCTCTACGATGAGTTCGAGGTTGTAGTAACTCCCACTATCCATAGCCAGCATTAATAGAACGAGCAATACGAGATGCGAGAGATCTAAAAAGTTTTGCCTCCCCGGTCAGCTCCCCAGATTCTAGTACACAGGACACAGTAACTGGGTATCATGCAGCAACCTTTAACGGAGGTGCCCAGGTACTACAGAGTACACGGGATGACAAAGGAGCTACGGCGTCAGCTCCAAAAATGGACGAGGTGGTCTGTGCTCACAATCTTTTTAAGCGAAAGGGGGCGAAGCCGATTTTGCAAGTAACTGTACCCTAGGAATTGCGCTGCTGCCAGAGTTGCGCCACCGCCAGAGATTTGGAGGGTGCCTGATTTTGAGGTGCCTGATTTGGAGGGTGTCTGATTTGGAGGGTGTCTGATTTGGAGGGTGTCTGATTTGGAGGGTGTCTGATTTGGAGGGTGTCTGATTTGGAGGGTGTCTGATTTGGAGGGTGTCTGATTTGGAGGGTGAGGGTGTCTGATTTGGAGGGTGTCTGATTTGGAGGGTGTCTGATTTGGAGGGTGTCTGATTTGGAGGGTGTCTGATTTGGAGGGTGTCTGATTTCGAGGATGCCAGTCTAGGTACGATAGAAAGACACCTGGCCGGCTTTCAGCGCGTCGCTTAAGTGGGAGACGTCTCCCAAGCCTAACTAATCGCGTAGTTCGTCATTCCGAGAACGCCAGAATTCCTCGTCTCGAAACTTCCCCTCTCAAGAAGCGATGAATGAGGAGCGCCCCTCCAACTCAAACACCCTCCAAATTAGACCCCCTCCAAATCAGAGGGGTTCAAAGTTGACTCCCAAGGGGACCAGTTCATGCTCTCTGTTTCCCATTATGATAGACATCTTCTACAGCTGTGGAGGGATTCCCTTGATCGGGCGTGTCCCTGATAATCGAGTGCACGCCCTAAGAGACGCAATGTAAGAAAAATTATTATCTTTTTGAAGAATCAACCACGCCTTGAATCAGTATACAAATCAGAACCTGGACTTCACAGCAGTGCTTTACTTCCCAATCCTAAGATACATCCTCGTCGACATCGGTATTCTTTTAGCGAGCTTCTACTAATACCAGCTATCCACTCATCTGAAACCCGTTGGTAGTAATTTCTGCTTCCATGAAGTTTTGAAGATAGGGGTTTAGAGCGGAGGTGGTGCTGAGTTGAATGGTCCGCTGCAAGGTGGTGAAGAGCGTGTAATACCGTATGTCTGTATATACCAGTCTGGGATATCTTTGGTGATCTGTCCTCCCAAAAGAATATCCGACCGTACAGAGACATAATTGTTCAACGGCCCTTCAATCCAGTCGATGAAAAGAGTTATATTTCCACTCGTAAATTTCTTGCTGCGACTCGCCGCCCCGAACAAAGTTTGCCCGAGTTCTAGCCTCGAGGCTGCCTCTGGACCTGTCATTCCCTCGAAAAAGCTGCCTTTTGCTACCGTGTCCAGGAGGCTCTTCCAATCTTGGTTTGGGAAATCTAGTTTTGCTCCGGCTGACAAAAGCACACGAATCTCATCCTCACATCCTAGCGCCACAGCACATTGCAGCGCATTTCCGAAGTACGGGTCCCTGATTTGAACATTGGCATGATGGGTGATGAGTTGCTTCAGAGCATCTAGGCGTCTCCACACCACAGCCAAATGTATAGCTGGCAGTCCGCCAGATCTGAACCCGTTCGGATCTGCTCCATGACTGAGCAGTTTCTCAATAACTGCATGATCACGCTCAGAGTCCGTACCTCCCCTCACGGCCATCGCTAGAGGCCAATAATCGATTTTCTGGCAGCGAGACAAGAGATCCGGTATCTGGAGAAGGAAATCGAGGGCCCCATCTCGGTTGCACCGGATCGCTATGTCAAGCGCGCATGGAAATTCTTCATTTCCAAGGCAGACGTCTGCACCTGCACCGAGTAGGATCTTCATGCCTTCAAGGAACTGGATGAGGCAGGCATGGTTCATGGCCGTGCCGACGAGACAGTCTCCAGTGGCGTTGGGATCTGCGAGCTTGTTGGTCAACAGGAAGGTCATTATCTCACTGAAGCGCTCTTCTACCACGTAGTGTAGAGGGGGCTCCTCTGCTCGTGGAGAAGGATATTGAGTTAACTGTTTTAACTGCTTGAAGGATTTGCTTTCGCCAGATAGAACAAGCCGTACTAATTGCCGCAATGAAGTAGGCCAGTTCGCCTGCCCGATGTTTTCAGCCTGTCGGAGACCGTAGCGTGCAGCGTACGTGCACAGCGGTAGTTTTAAAGGAAGGGAATCTCTATCTTTGGCTCTTCCACTCTGGCTGGAGTAGATATGATATCGAAGGCAAGCTTCCGCAAGCTGTATAGGTGCTGTTGTTCTGTTCAACGCAAAACCTGACGATGGTCGCGTCTTGATCTCCTTTGAAGTCAAATACTGAAGCAATGTGAAATGAGTGAGGACGACGACTTGGAGTGTCTCTTTATGAGACCAATCTTTCGAAGCGCTCTTGGTCTGAATATCAAGAAGCCCGGGAAGTAAGTAGAGGACATCGAGAGGATCGGCGAATTTCTCATCCTCATTGATTAGAGGAGTGGTATAATCTGCTTTATAGACTTCAACCTGATGATCTACATCTGAAGACGCATCAGCATCTGTAGTTAGATCAATTAGAGCAGCCTCCGCAAGCTCAGTGATAGTTAGAGGTATTGGCGAGAAAGCAACCCAGGTCAATATACGGATAGCTAGCTGGCGTTGATTCGCTCTCAATTGGGAAAAGGCTCTGTCGTAGGTCGCATACAAACCCTTTGGAAGGCTAGCGAGGGTATCATCCACAAGCTTGACGGTGATAGGACGTCGAAAAGAACTGAGCTGCAATGAGACATAATGAAATCTATTAGGGCAGAATGATCATTAGTTCATGGCACATAAACTAAGGCAGTGCATGGGCAACATACACACCGTCTGCCTTTTCAATAAGCTTTTCTCTAATCTTTTTCTTAAGATGGTCTGGCAGTTTGTCAAATTTCGCACCCTTGAGTTCGTGGTCAATAAAAAGACTGATGTCGTCGCTGACTTTAGATGAATAGCTTGCTGTCCCTAGATCAATGACTCTAGCTCTAGGGCTTTGGAGGTCCTTGATTGATGCTTCGATGTCGTACTCAAGCCGGCTTGTCATTAACATGTGGAGGTTGTCCAGGTCCCATCCTCGAATTATCTGCAGCAGTTCAAGTAGTTTACCACGTCGATCCTTTGTCAGGCCTTCTTCTCCAGTTTCCTCGTCGTCTTCTGCGTTTGGACACTCGTCTAATCCATCGATGATAAAATATGTCCTTGTGAAATCGCGCGATGCTAAACGCAGTGCATCTTGCAGCTCCCTCTGTGGTGGGTCTCGGCCCTTGTCTTGATATTTTCGGAGATCGAGGAGAGACTTCGGTCTATCTGGACGACATCCAAATAGCTGTGCGATCAACGATTTGGTAAGGTTGGTTCTAGTCCAAGTTTCCTTGTCCTTGAAGCTGATGTAGAAGTATGCTACTGCGGTAAATGGGTCCTCCTTGTAACTTTCCTCGAGGTTTTCAATAGCAGTTGAGCTGTCAAATTCGTTAATTCGTCAATTGTCGAACAGCAGTCTCCAGTTGTTGTACGAACCTTAGAATCGATTTCCCTGCACCGGCTTAGAAGGTGGATAAGTTAGCATAGATTGCCTGGTTTCAGATACGTAAGAAATGAAATTACCTTTACCATGAACCCATAGAAATGAGTTGGGCTCGCGCTTCCAGTCCATGAAATCGTCGTCATCAAGGATCCAACTGCGAGTAGAGGATATTCCACGCTTTTCAATAGCAGCATCGTAGTAAAATGACGGCTTTACTTTATGTAACCAATCCAGAATTTCTCTGCGCTCCTGATCCTTTTGTGCTGTAGCAACAAGGTCGTAGAATCGTTTCATCTCTGTTTCAAGCGCTTTCAATTGCTCCAGGTTTTCCTCGTGCTGTTTCCTTCGTACCATCCACTCTTCTTGCAAAGAGAAATGCTGCCAGAGTTCTTCAATAGACTTAAGCTCGTCATTCCTTTTACTAATATCAGCAACCATTTGATCCCAATCCTGCCACTTGGTCGCGTCTTGTACCCATTGCTTGGCTGTGTTCCCCGAGAGAAAGCAAATGTATGTGGCTTGGAAGGTAATTATTTGCATATACAAGTTTCTGAAGGTCTTTCTATACTCAGTGTGTGGCAATGTGGAGGTGGCTTGAGTCTTCTCGCTAGTTGTGGAACTTGTGGACTCGTAACGGCTGTGATAAACAGCTTCTCGAATGGAACACTCGCGCACGATGCTTGCGATCTTTTCCAACCCCAGGACTCGGGCTGCGTCCTGGTGAGAAGGAGTCAGTATGAGCTGGGTTGGGTTTGTTAGCACGAGCGTTGTAAGTTTCACTGAGCAGCCAAAGCGTTACTTACTGGGAGAAGCAAACACACTCCAGCCCATGCAAGAGATGCTGGAGGAGACGCTGCAACTGCGGTACCGACGTAGTCTTTTGCCCATTCGACGGTGCTGACCACCGGCTTGACGAGATCTTTTACTGCAAATTCACGGCCAAGAAACTCCTTCTTCCACTTTCCATCTTCAATCTCTTGCTTCTTTTCATTTGCAATCCTCGCCATTTGCTCACGTCGCTCGCCCTTGTCTCTCGACACTTTGCCAACTCCAGAATTACCCGAGAGCACACTCTGGTACTCAGTAATCATTTTGGAAGTGGACTTGTCCTTGGCCAACTCATCATAGGCTTCATCCCAGAGCTCGGATATGGATGGGAGGGTGTTTGTCTGCGGTTTTAAGAGACTGCCCAACTTTGGCTGTTCCTTCGGAATGGGTTTTGGCTCTGGGGTGGGGAGAGCCGGAAGGTCATCAGCCGGTTTGTCCTGCACCAGGGCATTTGAATGTGGAGGAATCGAGGCAGTAATCGCTTTCCCGGCCGGATTCTGAGCGCTATTAGGTAGCTCCGCTGCCTCCGGTGAGTCAATAAGACGTGGGTGAGTTGATGGAGGATCTATATCGAGTGTCGGCTCTGGCCTCTTGTCCTTCGGCTTGAAGAGACGGCTGATAAAGCCTTTCCGCTTCTTCGGGGGCTGGTTTGTTGGTTTCATCCCGCTAAAACGGTGGACTGGTAGCAGCACTAACTTTCTTGGGGTTGAAAGGCAAAATGTAGAAGGCCAAGGTAAAAAGACACTCTTGCGATGCGTTGCGAAAGAAGTGCGGGGTTTTTGCGTTTTGCACCAGCCACACAAATGCAGCTGAACATGATTGATAGATACGATATCCATTAGTATTGGCGGAATTTTCAGCCACTCCTGCGTGACAGCCAAATTGATTTTTGTATGCATGAACATAGAACTTGGCCGAAAGTAAATGGAAATTAAGTCGAAACTTTAATGAAAATGTTACATCTCTCCTCTGCGTGGCCAGATAAAGCTTTGCTTTGGCTATAGAATATACTAGCATAGTGTTGGGTCTTTATAAGGCAAGTGGAAGAGCAACGCTGCTGGGGCTTTCCTCAGGCTCGGCAACGATTAGTCAGTCATCAATTGTTCATCGATCACTTAGAATATTACCCCACTATTGCGATCGACTCTAGGCATTAATGAATGATAAATAGTGACGGAGAGATCCTGCATGCCCAGCCTATATTGTACTTTGGAGACATTGTAGCCTTGGGATGACATCGTTTATCTTTGGACCTAATGGACTAGGAGACTGAAATGAGACGGTCTGTGTCTGACTAATTTCTGGTGCGAGATGAAGTACAAGTTGAAGGGAGAAATGATGTCGTCGATGAATTAGGTTTGCTTGAGCTATGAATTTTTTGATGTGCAATGGGGTTATATATAACCTGTGATGGCGCTTGACACGTCCGGCAGATTGAAGCGCCAGGTCTGCCTGCGAGGCTGGAAGATTGGGGAAGAGGTGTCGACAATCCGCTGTGAATGTGCATCCTGGGCACACGAGGCTTGTTTGGCCAAGTCCGTTTTCAAGACGGGCGGCTGCCCTATGTGCAGGAGGTCGATTTTCTTGATCGATGATGAGAATGTCCTTGCGCGGGAGGAGCTACAGAGAAGGCCAGACGGCTGTTAGAGAATGGGATCCAGCATTCTCACAGGAGGCGCGGAAGTCTGCGAATATGGATGGAGAACGCGCCACACTTGCACCCAACAGCTGTGAAGAGGCCTGGCGTAAGTGCGCACGCATGAGTGAAGATGTTAAGGAGGTCGGATTCGGACGACGGTGCACGGCAGGCTTGCAGGCATTACGGAGTTGAATGCGCCTGTCGATGCAAGACGTGGTAACAAGAAGCGGTTAGGACCTCAGGGAAATGACCGCAGGTCGGCGGAATCTTAGCCGATACCATAGCCATGAGACGGCGATGGCAAGGGAGGGAGTTTGGCGATCGTGGTATGAGAAAGGTGGGGGGAGAGGGGGTGGTGTGGGAGCGGCTTCTGGATCTGTAGTATCTCTCCTGTAGCCACGTCCCAGACCCCGTACTGTATTATCCCATGAACCGGATACTAGCTGAACACAGGCTATGCAAGCCACATACACGAGGCAAAGCCTCCAGCTTACGAAGGGTATTACTAACCAAAACGGATTAATTTTCGGAACAACGAAACGCCGAAGGCCACGCGCTCTCTTCTCTTCGAAGAACCTTCTTATTTTAGCTTCCACTAAAATTTCGAAGGCAAACGATTGCCAAGGATTGATTAGTCTCATGCGAGATCCCGTCATATGGGCCCGAGCTCGGGTCCTCCCGGTAACCGAAGCGGGACCAGCCTCGTCATCAAGCCCAATCCGCGAGGCTGAAGCGAATGACATGTTAAGTTAGCACACTAAGATAGTTCCGGCGTCGAGATTCGAAGGGTTTGTACATAGCAACGTATTCAGGATGAATCTTTTCTGCTCTTAAATGTAGTTGGGTCGGCGCTGCTGAAATGTCTTCTCCGAATTTTCAGACGACCATCATGACCCTTCAAGAACCAACCAGGCTCACAAGCTCCTCCTTTCGCGGTGAATTCTTCAAGAAAGCGTGCTGGGACAATCAGAACATATAGGAATTGAGGATTCAACTAACTCACCGACAGAAGTTCTTAGGCACCATTGCAAGTCGATGATTCGATTAGGCAATGTTTGAGCTTTGTGAATCGGGCTACTGCTGAACATAGTGGGAAATTCTGGAGTCTTGATGGGAGACCGGAGGCTGTTGTGCAGTGGGCACGAAGCCCACTTGAGCTGAAGGGAGAGGGAGACTAAAAGGCCACATTGTAATAGTACACGCGTAACTTAGCAAACACTTGTTGCTGCATCAACCTTCACACGAACAGCAGAAGCAAAAGAGAATGAGTTGAGATATTGATTCATCAAGTCAACCCACCCGGCATTGAGCCAGGCATCGCGTACTCCTCTCCGCGTGCTCTCCTTCTCCAGCGTAAACCTTCAGCCTCTCACTCTCAACTTTCGCCCTCTGCTCCGCCTCGACCTCTCTCCTCGCCTCCTTCCCCTTCGCCCTCCCCAAACTTTCCCTCTCAACACCAATTCCCTCCTCCCCACCCCTCGTATTCTTCTTCCGCTGCCACAAACTCGGCAACTCGATCTGCTGAAACCTTGGCTCCACACACCGTTTATCAAACCACATATGCAACCTCTGCTCTACTAACTGTGCGATCTTCGGCACATCCTGCAATCTACTCCTCGAACCCACCAGACTCCTGATACTCAAATCCAATCTATAATTATCCAAGAAACTGAACGCCAACGTCGTAGCATTCCCAGCCGTCCCCGGCACAAAACTAATACTCAATGTCCCCGAAAACCGCACCATAGAAACCGCCAACGCAACAGGCAAGATAGTAACTAGCGGTTTCGGGTAGTTAAGTAAAAGTTTCGTCTCCAGCGCCAGCGTAATAAAATCCGCCAAATCAACATCCATCCTGGCCTGCAACCGTCCATATTCCCTCTCCCCCGCCTTCCCACCCTTCCTCACATCCCCCAATACTAGCCCATCCTCATTTACAGGTATCACTCTACAATTACTGAAGATCGGGAAGTCCTCCCCGAGACTTAGCTCCGTGATCTTGATCTCATCTAGGAAATCGGGGCGTGAGTTCGAGTTCAGTGCCTGCGTGAGCGAAGTGAGGATCGCGTTATCGTGATGTGCGTCGGAGCGGAACTGCGCGATGGTTTGCGCGATTAGTACGTTGAACCAGTCGAGGCTCTCTGGCTAGTGCGCGTCGATGTTATAGTACGTTTTGCTGAGGATCGTGTTCGTTATTAAGGGCGGCGGGTTTCTTAGTACGGAGCTGCGCTTTTTTTGTAGTGTGCTGTTTTGTGTGGAGGATGGTATTGTCGGGCGGAGGGAGAGGAGTGAGCGTTTGTGTGCGAGGGTTCGAGAACGTCGTTCTGTGGCGCGGAGGGAGGCGGTTACGTCGGCGGAGGGGGGGTCGCCGAAGATGAAGAATTTTATGAAGGCCCCTAGCAGTAGGACGACGGAGAGTTGGCCGAGGAGTAGGCCTTGTGTGAAAGAGAGTCTGTAGGTGTCAGCCTTGCGTCGTCGGCGGATCTTGGGGAGCTTACGAGGATTCGGGCTTAGGGAGTGGAGGCACATTTGCTGTGGCCATTTGATAGGGAATCTTCGACCTCTCCTGAGATCTGGGGAGGAATTGGGGTCGTGGTTGACTGGTGAGGCCAGCCCATTCACTGAAGTGTGGTCAAGACATTGAAACGACGCGAGAGAAATTTGGAGCGAGGCTGCGACGTCATTGGCACAGCGAGACGAGGCTGAGAGCCCAGGTTTCCTAACTTACATCCGCTACAGAGTATCTCCATTTTAAGGGATGTTGCTCCATCGATAATTCTCTATTAAAAAAAGCACAATTGATTATCAGTTATTCCACGTGACAATCAGGCCACTTTAAGTTCATTCCCTTCCGAAGTGGCTTTGATCTGCGCCCCGATTCACGGTCCTACTCATTGACTATCGAGATCCTAAGACATTCTGTGCAAGCTAACTGAATCGAGATAGCCACGAACCATTTTGTGGGTATCTAATTATCCAATAGCCTTCGAATGGCAGTTATACAAAAAAACGCCCGTTTAGTAACATGTAACAAAGCAGGGCGGCTACGATTAAAGACCGTCAATAGTCAAGGGATTACAAGTGAGCTGCGAGAAGGTTTTTTGTTGCAAGTCGCAAATTTTATAGGAGGCCTCCTCCTTACCCGTACTCTCTATATTCTTCTAATTAATATCTTTTACTAACATATTCAAAGTTTTGTTGCGATCGCAAAGAGGGCGAATGCGGAGGAAAGTGTACCCCTATTGGATAGGGAAGTGCCGCCGTTAGGCTATAAGAATCAGACCACATTTCCCTGATCTCAAGTACAACATGTAACAAAATTATTTAAGAATGGTCTTATCTATAAATGTTACGGTGGGGACTTGTCTGCGAGAAGCATCTAAATTGGTATTTCTAAATAGAGAAGTCTGTATTTTCACTGCGGTTAAAGTATGGTAAATGCTTCTAATATCTGACATTCCAAAAAGCTGTAATCCGCATCTTGATTTGGGCATTCCAAAATTACCCCTTGAGATATATTACCTATCCGCATTCTTCTAAGTCAATATTTTCTGTTATCGCGTTATTAGTATACGGCTGTACTTTTCGACAATTTATCATGTCTCACTTTCCACTATTGCACCGGTAATTACACCGTCCCCAGAGCTCGGCGATTGCCATTGGAGTACAAGGGAGTAGATAGATGTATGGCGATAATAGATATTACAGCCCGACCTCGAGTTCTAATAGACGCTTAAGAGATTAAGGTATACCCTCTCCCCTTTAACGTTTCCTCTCCTTATAATATTAATTACGGTTATAATCCCGCAGCCGCCTATATAACTGCCCTCCCTCGCGATTCCGCTATCTCCGTAGGGCTTTCCGAAGAATAGTAAGCGCTACCATAGGCGGAGACCTCAATCGACGTTAATAGCGGCGATGGCATGAGCGATACAGGCTACGAAACAGATAGCGTTAGTACGGCGTCGATATCGTTAGTATCGAGTATTAGGGACTACGTATTCGAGAACGGTCGTTAATACTACCGGTTTTACGAAGGGAGCTATAACTTTCCGAATAATGACCCAGAGCAGGACAGGGAGGATGTGGCACATGCTCTAATAGCAAGCTTCTGCTACCGACTCCACTTTGCATCTATAGGGAGAAATCCACAAAATATTCTTGATATGGGTACGGGAACTGGAATATGGGCCATTGGCAGTAAGGCAATCTACGAACGTCAGAGGGGACCCAGGCTGACTTCTCTGTAGTGGGAGATTAATACCCTAGTGCCAATATTTTAGGCGTCGATCTAAGCCCTATTCAACCTCTCTGGGTTCCTCCGAACGTTAGATTTGGAGTTAACGACGTCGAAAGTCCATGGCTTTACCCCCAAATCACTTTGACTATATACACTCTCGACACATGGTTATGGCCATTCGGGATTGGCCTAAACTGATGCGCCGGGCATTGAAGTGAGTCTAGTGTGCTATAATCAGGTCTAGGTATCTTCTGACGTTAAAAGCAGCCACCTCAAGCCGGGAGGATGGATGGAGACGCAAGAGATCCACCACCGCCCCTGTTGCCGCAATGGGAGCATGCCACCAGATCATCCAGTCGCGCAATACTGGGGCCTTGTTAGCGACGGACTCGCCGGCTTGGGTATCGACTCTGACGCGACATTGCTACTGGCCGACATGTTGCGCGATGCAGGATTCATTAACGTAACGACAAGAATATTCGACGTCCCGATAGGCAGGTGGCCGAAGAATAAGACGTTGAAGCTAGTAGGGTCATATTAGAGGGCAATCCTACTTGATGGTGCCCAGCCGATTGCGCTTGGGCCGATGACGAGGGGCTTGAAGTGGAGTCGAGAACAGGTAGAGATGCGGTTAGTGGAAGTGAGGAGAGCGTATATGGATGAGTGGGTTCATAGTTACATGCCGTTATATATAATCTGTGGGCAAAAACCTGAGGAGGGCATGAGTCTGGGGATATAGATGGCAGAGATGATATGAGGAGAGGGGATTGTTGTGAGAGTGTGATTTGGGTTTTGTAGGTTCAGGTATGGTTTTCGAGGATCACTGGGTTATCGATAGTACGGGAGCTGCGGCGATTTTCAGCCACAAAAGCCACAAAACAGGTCCGCCTTGGATTTCAGTATCACCTGACCCAACTCACGTGTCACCACAATCACTAGCCGGCTGGAGCCTTCGATACGCCCCGACCCCTCCAAAACCGTTCAAAGATAAATTGCCCAGACGCCAGCCGGGATTAAACGTGACATACAGAAATTTTTATATGGAAACATTTTGATTTATTTGATTTTTGTTGCATATCGCAATACTCCAGAGAAGATTCGTAGGCCAGATTTCATTAACGGGACGGGAAAACCATTTTCCTATTAGCTAGCCAGCGTGACCCGCATACTCCTCGGCAATAATTGAAAATAACGAATCTCCTCGATCTGCAGTACCAACTTCTATTATTACTACGCCAGGTATTACCATATATATACAGTATTTATTACAGACGACCCCTCTAGAAAGCTTTACGAGCCCACCGCTAACCCCTCCTATAACTAACGAGAAGACTAGGACAAGTATCTTATGTATTATTACAGAAATTAGAAGCCAAAACGAGTATAGTTTATTTACTTACGAACCCTGGCTTGGATTTGAATTAGATATGTAATAATACAAAGATCTATAATACTAGCTATAAACAGATTCTTTGCTCTGGTATTATTTCGAATATATTCGGTATATAGTAGTATATATGTTTACTTACTATTCTACTAATATGAATAGAAGATATAACTACTTCCTATTAGCCAAATTACTTATTCTTTGGATACCCGGGCTATTATACGAAAGCCTTATATCTTATATTACTAAAGAGATCCTGTACTAACTGAGAATAATTACTAAAAGCAGAAGCCCGTTAGTAGAATTTGTAAGAGAAATAGATAATAATACTTTTACAGAAATTAGTTTTAAGGATATAAAATACGGTTTATATTAGCCAGATGCTTTATTTTAATACTTTAGTATATAATACCCAGAAGTTATTATTAAGCTTTCCTATTTATAGAAGAAGAAGAATCTATAATATTTAGTAAATAAGTATATTCTTGGATTAGATATAGATATTTATATTATAATTAGTATTAGTATAGAATATAAGAGAAGCAGGAAAGTAACTATTTCTATATAGTACCTATAGATTATATTAAATAATAATAGAGAGAAAGAACTATATACTATATAGATAGTAGTAGATTAGGTATACTTATTAATAAAACCTCTCTCCTAGCTTATATCTGCTTAAATAAACTAGCTCTTCCGTAATAATATAGGAAATATAGTTCTTAATTCTAAAGCAGTATAATAGGTATACGTAATGGCGCATGAACAGGTATCAGATATTATAGATCTAGTTTCCTATTTTGGGTATAGCTTGTAATCGGAATTATATAGATTATATAGGATTTTCTAATTAAGTAAAGGGCTTTGCATACCTGGCTAAGTACTAGGGAATATATAGGGAGATACTCCTAGCTTTAGAAGAGGCATTAATTAGTCTCTTATTAGAATTAATTCTTGGAATTAGTTATACTTGCAAGTATTATTTTATAGCTTACTTACCTTAACTACTTATATATTACCCTGCTATTATATATCTTATATTCTAATTAATCTAATCTTCAGGGAGCAGTTTATTGCGAGGTAGTTAAGCCATTAATAGATAAAACTACTAATGGCTAGAGTATTAACTAGAAGAAACATCTTTGCTATTACTGGGGCGACCTAGTCGGGTATTCAGAAGAGTATCTAGTTAGCTACTCTAGCTACCGCCTAATTAGGAGAAGGAAGTAGAATTCAGATATTCCCAGAACTAGCTGGCAGGATAATAATAATAGAGAAACTGGCGGTGGCTCGTTATTATATTACTGAGTTAGAAGCAGAGATATAATAGAGGGAGGATCTAGAGGATCTAGAAGCTCAGATTTGCCGTCTTAAGGATATTCGGATATCTATTATAGAACCTATTATATTACTAGTAGTATATTTGGTTTATAGGGCTCTAAAAACCCGAGAATTACTAACCTATAAAAGAAAGAATATTAAGGAAGCCTAGGACTTCTTCTATTAGGCAGAGCTGAAATAGTATAAAGATAGTAGGATTACCTGGGTTATAGATATAGTAAAGATTATATATTATACTTCCTGCTTTAAGGATATAGCCAGGGATATCTGGAAGTATAGAGAATAATTAGTAGGTATTAATACTACGGATTAGAAGACTTTTATTAAGTTTATAAAGAATTCTATTTTAGATCCGGAAAACTATAATAATAATATTCTTACTAAATTTAAGAATATAAAATAGTAGCCAGATTAGAATATCCAAAGCTTTATATTTTACTTAGATAGCCTATTAGATAATTTAGGATATATGGATTTATTATAAGAGCAGAATGACTTATTTAATAGCTTAAGGCAAGAGATTCGGAATAAGATTAATTACTAAAGAAATATTCTATAAAAAAGAGAGAAGCTTATTTCTATAGTTATAAGAATCGAGAATAACTTAAACTAGTTTACTTAATAGAAATATAATAATAAGCTAATAGATTAATAAAAGAAAGGAAATTAGAGAAAGGAAAGAGGAAATAATAAAAAGAAATAGAAGAGAAGTATATTCCTATTATAAGGTTTATATAACCGGAATAGCAAAAATATAGTAATAGAATCTAATATAGTATTTATATTAGAATCTATAAGACCGGATATAACTTACTTTACTTGCCAGAAGGAGAATTACTATATTATTACCTGCCTAAATTAGGGAAAACTGACTTATTATAACTATAATAAGTCTGGCTATAAAATATATAAATACCTAGAACTAAAGAAGTCGGGAAACGGGTATATCTCGTAGTAGTTATACTTATTTATATTATAGAGGGCAAGGCCCCTGAAATAAGAATAATAATTAAGGTTATTATTAAGATAAGGAAAGGTAGGTAAAGAATTAGAATATTAGTTAACTCAAATATAAAGGCTAATTATATAAAGAAAAGGTTAGCCTTAAATATAAGTATTCTATTAATATTAAAGGTAACTCCCTTATTCTTACTAGAGAAAAGAAGGATTTATTTATATAAAGATTATATTCTTGGAGTTATTACCGAGAATATACTAGAGAACTAAAAAGAGGCTAATATATATTTTATATTATATAATTTTAATCTAAACTATATTAATATAATATTTGAATTCCTATAGCTTTATTAGGTTAATTCCCTGATTTCCTTTAGAAAGGCAATATAGAGATACCAGATTCGATTATAGAATATTAAAGTTCTAAATATTAGGAAGTTTACTAAAGTAGTAAAATATAAGATATATATTTTTCTATTAACTATTTATCCTATAATAGATAGCCAAAGAATTACTACTATTATTATAAACGGAATAGCTATACTTTCTAGAAAGTATTAGGACCTTTTCTAAATATTCTTTATAAAGGCTATAGGTATATTACCCGACTACTATATAATAAAGTATTATATAGATCTGGAACCAGGATCTTAATTACTATATGGTTCTATATATACTTTATTAGAAAGGAAGCTTGAAATCTTTTAGGAATATCTTAATACTAGCTTAGAAAAGAAATAGATTTATTATTCTACTAATCTAGCTAGTATTTCAATTATATTTATTCTAAAAAAAGAAGACAGCTTATATTTATATATTAATTACCGGAGTTTGAATAGGATTACTATTAAGAACCGAATACTATTACTATTTATTAGTAAGATAATAGACAGGTTTTATAGAATAAAGATATATATAAAGCTAGATTTAAAGAATACTTACTATTAGTTATAAATACAGGAAGGTAATAAGTAAAAGATAGTATTTCGAATATACTATAGATATTTTAAATACTATATTATATCTTTTAAACTATCTAATATTCTAGTAATATTTCAGATATATATTAACTATATACTAGTAGGCCTTATAAATATCATTTATATAGTTTATCTGGATAATATTTTAATTTATTTAGAAGACCTAGAATAGTATATAATAGTAGTCCGATATATATTTAAGTAATTATAGTAATACTAGCTCTTTATAAACTTGGTAAAATACGAGTTTAATATAAAGAGAATAGAGTTTCTAGGATTTATAATTAGCTCAGATAGTATAGAAATAGAGGCTAGCCGGATTATAGCTATTAGGGAATAGCCGGCCCTAAAGAATAATATCTAAGAAATCCAAGTATTCCTGGGTTTTACTAACTTTTACTAGAGGTTTATCTATAGATATTCCAGGATAGTAAAAGGATTAACTAATTTACTAAAAACTAGTAGAAAACTACTATATTAGTTTAGCTAGACAGATAAAACAGATAAGGCTTTTAGGGAACTATAAATTATATTTATAATAGTACTAATTCTTTATTATTTTAATCTAGCCTTAAAGATTTATATAGAAACGGATATTTCAGGATTTATAGTTATAGATATGATTTCCTAGCTTTTTAGTAAGAAGATAGAAGCCAGATAGTATTCTATTACTTTCTATTCAAAAAAGATAACTATAATTAAGAGCAGATATAAGATATATAACTCTAAACTCTTGGCTATTATTTTGGTATTCTATATTTAGTAGTATTACCTAGTATATATCCGGTATACTATTATTATTAAAATAGATTATAATAACTTGAAATATTTTATAACTAAAAGAAAACTAAATAGTTAATAAATAAGATAGATAGAAGAGCTGGCTGCTTTTAATTTTATCTTAGAATACTGGCCAGAATATAGTAATTCTGCTAATAGGCTATTAAGGAAGCCAGATTTTATAGTAGATATAAATAAAGATACTTTATTACCTATATTTTATAATAAGCTATAGAATACAGAATAGAGAACCCTATAGGTAATAGTAATAGAATATTATACTATTCCTATAATACTATAATATAAGGCCTAGAAGAAAGAAGATAGGTACTTCTCGATTAGTAAGATATTAAGGAATTCCGAAAAGAAAGTCTATTTTAGTAATAGAATAGTACCGGAAATACTATTACTTAAGCCTATTACTAATATAGCTAATTACAAATAGTATAT